CTTATAGTGATGGCACACGACCAGACCCACATTCGGCATGTAATGTTGTTTGAATACAAGAAGGGAAACAATGCCTCTGTAGCCATAAAGAATATCAAAGAAGTTTATGGAAATGTTTTGAATGTTCGTAAATGTCAACGATGGTTCAGCAAATTTCGTTCAGGTGACTTTAGCCTTAAAAACTGTGATGGCTGGGGGCCGACATGTTGGAATTGATATTGATGCTCTGAAGACGCTTGTTGAGTCTAACCCAAGGCAACGCACTCGTGAAATGGCCCTGAACTTGCATGTCTCACATGAAATAATATGTAAATATCTGAGGAATATGTGAACGTTGCATCGTCTCTTAGGGCGCGTAATGCGCGTGAACCATTTTAGGACAGAATTGTTACCGGTGATGAAAAATGGATTCTCTATGCGAATATTAAACGCCAAAAACAATGGCTCAGTCCTAGACAAAAACCACTTCCGACTCCAAAATCTGGACTCCATCCGCAGAAAGTGATGCTTTGCATTTGGTGGAACATCAAAGGAGTAATTCATTTCGAACTCCTCAATCCACAGCGAACTGTCAATGCAGAGATCCATAGACAGCAGCTGGAACGGTTAAATCAAGCCCTTTATCAGAAACGCCCTTTACTCGTCAGTCGGAGAGGTGTTCTTTTTCTCCACGACAATGCACGTCCACATGAGGCACGTTTGACGCAACACAAGGTTATGGAGTTGGGTTGGGAGGTTCTCACCCACCATATGCCTCCAGATATGGCACCATCAGATTACCATCTTTTTCGTTCGCTGCAACACCATCTTAATGGGAAAACGTATGCAAATTTGGAAGGTGTTAAAGAGGACATTGGCATGTTTTTTACTTCAACGCCAAGTGACTGCTTTAATCAGGGCATTAACTACCTGATTGTAAGATGGAAGATCATCATCGATAAGAATGGATAGTATTTCATTTAATAATTGTTTTGTTTTGATAAATAGGTTATTCTTGTTTATTCATCTAAAAAAAGCGACATTAACGTGTTGACGACCTAATATAGAAACCAACGGATGTTATTACTATACCTGTTATATTTAATTAAGGAAATTTTGAATTAACCGTTTTATGCCAAGCGTGACCTAGTGTTGAAGGAATATGAATGTGAAAGCTCATGGTTTGTCGCCCGTTGCCGCAAAAAATATGGGTCCCACTTTGGGTTCGTGAGTGCAGTATGCTTAATGGTTAAGTCACATTCTACTGTCGTCAGACAAAGGTTAGTGGTGGGTGCTGTTGAGTAGCTGTCTTCTTACTAGCTTCACAGTTTTAAAATTGAGGACAGTTATGCCTTTATGTTGCTTTACGTGAAATTCTAAGCCGTTTTAAAACGAAATTTCGTGATACTTTTAATGGGTTCTGTTGATAAAAGTATCAAGTGCTAATATATTCACCATATACTGTGGCTAGAGAAAAGTTTAATTTTGTATTTCTTGATGGTAGAAATGTATATTACGTATTATGACTTCAAATAGCCTAAAACTGAATTAAGTTGCAATTTAGATTTAGTGGTTAAATAAATGCCGATATGTATCCAATTTATGATATTTGCTAACAAGATTGATACACATAATTTTCTTTTTTAATACAAATATATATTTTAATATACAAACAATAATACAATTTTCAATAACGGTTATTACAAATAGTTATTACGAACAACGATTTATATGCAAAGGTTTTACAAACTTACAAGCAATATAAAGTCTTATTTCTGATCTGGAACTTCCTTGGCATCTTATCAAGAGTTCACGATGAGCGAGTTAATTTTGAGTTGACGTAGGTACAATTCACTTAATAGGAAGCTAGCTAGTTCTGTGGTCTTTACTGATCACACGCCGATTTTATTTTCACCGGTGACGTTAGGTAATGTTTTCGTAAAAGTACTAATATTCATGTGAATTCACTGAAGTTAAATGGTTTGTAATGTTCGAAATTTATAAACGTTCCTGGTCAAATATCTGAAGTGTTCCGATTAATAAGCGTTATAACAATCAAAGTTATAGCTTTTGAAGTTTATAGTATACCAACTAAAGCAAATCAATAATAGATACTAATTTTTAGTGCGTCACGTTGGTTATATTTATAGACGCGTGGAGAGTTTCTCGAAACTTCATTTTACGTAACAATACTGACGCTAAGACTAGCGTTTACGTACACACATATACTGTTGATTCTTACACTCGAGAACCTTTTAGAACTTTAGAGAATGGGCGGAAGTTTCGCAATACAGATTTAACAGTATACATTATGTACATTTCTAAATATAAATTTAAGTTAAACAAACGTTGATAATCAAATAAATATATAATATTAAATCCATCACAAAAGGAATTTTCCTTTTATTTTCTGATATTTCAGTCCTTTCTGTTTAACTGTGGCCTATTCCAGGTTTTAATGTTTTCCTAAAAACATTTACAGTATATCTAAACAGGATAGAAAAAATAATCCCGGTTTTGAATGAAATACTAGAAAGAACTACTTTTTAAAAAAAAAATTCACACAAGTTTTTATTGGTTGTTCACAACGTTTCAGCGGGTCTTACCGGCATCAACAGGTGAGATGATTCCAGGTAAACCTGGTGAAACGTTAGGTTGTGAACAAAATAAACAAAAGCCTTACTGTGTGCTACCGATAAAAACTTGTGTGAATCTTGGTCTTGAATGTAATCAACATATGACCTGTTTTTCAAACGTTAAAGCGTGAGAGTATTCAAACAACTACTGAATCAAAACTTATATATATATATATATATATATATATATATATATATAAGTATAATAGTAGAACGAGACTACTATAATTAATACTAATAACTAACTTCTCTAGTTGTTAGTATACTATTGTTAGTTTAATTACTACCCTAAC